AGGGAGCATGAGGAGGAAATGAAACTGAAAAAAGAAATGATGTTAACACAAAAACTACAACAAACTGCAATTGAAAAGACACATGAAAAATTGAATAATTCTTTGGATTTGTTAGAGAGTGTTTTAAGGAAAGCAGGAGCTGCATATGATGCCATGGCTAAAACATATGAATGATGTTGTAATATTTCAGAAATTGGCATCTAAAGTAAAAGTTATTCGTTCTATTTCTTACATATTCAACTAATTTTATTTGAAGGAAATAAACATACATGTGTTTATTTTGACAAAGGTTTTTTGTTTACAAAAGCTGTCATAAGTATGGCAGGTAATTATTTGTGGGGGATGAATATTTATAATATACATAAAGGCTGTGATTTTCAAAAATTGAATTTATTTCCTGTGATAAAGAATAAAGTTTTGTTTGGTGTATACAGGTATTTATAAAATATGTTATACTGTGCAAAGTACTGTATAGAGGATATGTTTCTTTTATTAAATTTTATGCATTGATATAAATAGCTGTAGAGAAGGAGTGAACCATTTCTTTTTGTGCCCAAGATAGAAATATTTTCATGTCAGTTACAAATATTGTCCAAAGTATGGCAGTTAAGATTTATTTTTATATATCTATAATATAAGCTGTGAATTTCAGGAAATGCAGAACTATGTATCGAAAAATTATACTGTAGTTTATTTTCTTAATTTTTACACATTTATAAAAAAAATAAATGTATATTTCTTTCCTTTTGTTGTCTTCATAAAACCTCACAGGTGAATTACCTTACATATTGAGTTATGCTCCATTATTAAAGACCACAGTGAAGTAAAAAAAACTTTATTACTGGGCCAAAAACTGTGATATTTTCCTTGTTAACTCAAGATAGAGTGAGCTCACTTGGCTTGCCTCATTCCGGAAAACATAAGTGAATTTCCCGGTTCAGATGGTTGAAATTTTATTACTACTACGACAAAAATATTGTATGACTGAATAAAGATAAGAAACATATCTTAAATGATAACAGAAGTAATTGTTAATTGAAGATGAGGCTCACAGCACAGACAGCAGTCGTCATCGAAGTCGGAGCTGTGATGTCAACATTCCAATAATGTTTCAAGTTCATAACAGTGTTGTGAAAGTTCATTTATCCGTATTAACACTTCTTTTAATTGTTCTTATCAAAAAAATAATATAATTCGACGTAGACATCTGTAATATAAAGTACTGGAAGAACTTTCATAAAATATAATGATGATTATTATTTGTCGTAAGGCAGCTATCGGGTGGGGGTAGCCACCCGATGTTGTTTCCAACATTTCAGGGATATGCGTATGGTTCCCTTCCGATACCTCGTTTATCGGGATGACTATTAATAGACCGACACGAACACTATCAATTGGCATTGTGCTTCGTAGTGACTATCAATCCGGCCCTTAGATATCATGATGAACCTCTCTCTCTCTCTCTCTCTCTCTCTCTCTCTCTCTCTCTCTCTCTCTCTCTCATGTTTTCTGTCTTTTTTTTTCTTTTGTGTTTATATATTTGTTTATTTTTTCGCCTTTTCTTTATTTCATTCTTCCCGTCTCTCTCTTTACACACACACACACACACACACACACACACACACACACACACACACACACACACATTATCCTGAATAATTATAACTATAAGACTGACAGGTAATCCCCACAGAACCGAGTCACACACTGCCGGCTGGTGGGTTATTAAGGGGAGGGGGTATTATTGGTACCTCATTAATGGCCTTTTTTGTGTTTGTAATTGAGAGAGAGAGAGAGAGAGAGAGAGAGAGAGAGAGTAAACGTACTCCTCTGGCTGCCATCTCCACAGTGCCATCTCCTTCCTTCCTTTCCTCTTCTCCTATCCTCTTCTCCCCACCCTCCTCTCCTGTTCTTTTCCCTTCTTCCTTCCTCTCCCCTTCCTTCTTCTCCTCTCCTCCCCGCCTATCCTCTCCTCCCCGCCTATCCTCTCCTCCCCGCCTATCCTCTCCTCCCGCCTATCCTCTCCTCCCCGCCTATCCTCTCCTCCCCGCCTATCCTCTCCTCCCCGCCCATCCTCTCCTCCCGCCTATCCTCTCCTCCCCCCGCCTATCCTCTCCTCCCCGCCTATCCTCTCCTCCCCGCCTATCCTCTCCTCCCCGCCTATCCTCTCCTCCCCGGATTGTTGCGTCACACTTTTATTCCTCAGGTCAGAACAGACTTGGCGTAGCATCGTTAATTGGCTGTCATGTTGGCCGCACTGCTAATTGTTTACTATAGTGTGAGCCGCAATTTCAGAGCCCGAGTTAACCAACCACAGAGCGAGTTACAGTACGATTGGCTGTTCCATTTTATGACGGGAATGACGTCAGACTAGGAATGATTCTACTACCCGTGATTGGTAGGTTATGGTGTGAAGTTAACAGCTCGTTGCAGTGTCTGTTGCTTTTGTTGCAAGGTTCAGTACTCAACACCCACATGCAGGGTATCCAGAACATAATGTAGTGGCTTGATAGTTTTTTCGTGTAGATCTCGTGAATGTCTGTACGGTATTACAACAGCAACGCTTGTTAATGTGTGAGGTCTGCCACAAGTGAAGGACAATGTTGCTGACACACCCTGTGTTGACGTCGTTGGTTAGGTTAGGTTATGTGGAGTTATAGAGTGTGTTGGACTGTTATACTTGTTATAGTGTGTACTGTATGACTATGGTATATATCCCAGCTTATTTCATCTGAAGATTATCTAAACTAATGCATACCCAACCTAACCTAAGCTAACGAAAGGAAACGTAATGTCACATAACCTAACCTAACCTAACTCAACGCTAATCTAACCTAACCTAACCCCAAGGTAGGTAGATACCAGGTAGCCTCACTCCCATAGGCTCTACGCTAATGAAAATAAATTTGAAATTTTTATTTACGTATTTTTGAAGGCTTATGGTGGTATTAAAAGTTGTACAATAAATGTATGGAATGGAGATTTTTTGTTTTATTTTAATTGGAGCCACAGATTAAATATATAAAATAAATATAAATATCTTTCTTGTGAACGCTTGCGACCGCTGGAGTCAATCCAACGTCGCTGATTGGCTAGCGATGACATCACTTATTAAGCTCCGCCCACTTGGTACATCAAACAGTAGAAGCGGGATATTTACAAGTGAAGGTGGAGTGTTTTTCTTTTATAACAATGATTTATTGCGCTGTAGCCACCTGTAAATTCAACTCAGAAAAGAAGAAAAAGTTTGTATCTTTTTATTCATTCCCTCGGGACATAAAGTTACGGGCAAAGTGGCTAGATGGCTGTGAAAGAAAAGATATAAAGAACACCAAACAAGTGAAGGCGATATGTTCAGTGTGTTTTAAATCTGAATGTTTTACTTACCATTTAGCAGTAGACAATGCACCATCCCATTATTACTGCAAAGATTATCTATCACAAGACCACCTTTTATTACTTTTTCACATACTACTTGGGAAAACAATAGCTCACGAAGGTGGTTATTTTACCATACTTATGTTGAAGCATATACGTATCACTATGCGTGCTAATTAAAAATCAAGATCTAGGTGATGTTATTAGTTAAAAGTCGATCATGTGATTCTGATGACAGAAATAGTATGTATGTATGTATGTGTGTGTACTAAAAAGACGAAAAACGTAAACAGTTATTATGTCTGTTAAATGTTATAACATGAAAATGTATCTAGATCACTAATAACTTGTGTGAAATATATAAATACATTCTTCATACATCGAGTATTATTTACATTTTTAAGGATATGATATGGCTGTGTGTACGGTAACTCTTAAACCATCACACTTATTTTTGTATATCAATTAGAGTGAAATAAAACGTGTTTACTTATTTTCTGCATTAACAGTTGATGCTTCAGTCAGAACCAGGTAACGAAGTCAAGCAACAGTTACCATACTGCTGGGAATAGCCAGAATGCCAGAATAAAATTAAGATGGGAGGGAATGTATTGAGTATTTTACAATTCGACAAGAGTTCTCGTTTTATTGTAAATTTCGTCAAACATTTTCTTATTGTATAATTTACATGCCAATATACACTGTATATTACATATTATTAAATATATATCTGATTAATAACATTTTATGCTAGTATATTTTGACTGGAGAAAGAATCTATACAGATAATAATACCACAATATTACAAACGCAAGTGGCAAAAGGGGCGTGGTGTATTGATCTCCAGAGTAGAGTTGCCAATTAGTGATTTCCTATGGGCCTGCGAGAGGCTACCTGGTATTTACCTACCTTGACCTAACCCAACCTAACCTAACGCTAATCTAAACTAACCTAACCCAACCTAACCTAACCTAACCTAACCTAACCCAACCCAACCTAACCTAACCTAACTCAACGCCAATCTAAACTAACCTAACCTAACCTGACCTAACCTAACTCAACGTTAATCTAACCTAACCTAACCTAACCTAACTCAACGCTAATCTAACCTAACCCAACCAAACCTAACCTAACCTAACCTAACTCAACGCTTATCTAAACTAACCTAACCCAACCTAATCTAACCTGACCTAACCTAACTCAACGCTAATCTAAACTAACCTTACCTAACCTCACCAAAAAGTAACCCAACCCAACCAAATAGCGTCACATAATATATAAGGCACACAGGTGTATCAACTTAACCCACATACCCAAGCGATCTATTTTAATCCCCATGCGTGGTAATTAAGATCTTGTGAGGGTAATTAAAGCAGTCATTAGCAAGAGAAAAACGAGCCCGAGGTTCCTAAGTACTGTGTGGGAAATTACACTAATTAGTTATCAGGTGAGAGGCAGGTGAGGCGGAGTTTGAGGTACTTGTGTTGGTGCTGAAGAAGATGTGAGAGTGATGATGTATTTGAAGAGGTCGTGTTGTGGAGGAGAAAGAGAGAGAGTGAGAGGGAGAGAGAGAGAGAGAGAGAGAGAGAGAGAGAGAGAGAGAGAGAGAGAGAGATACTCACCTAGACAGAGGGTGAGGAGGTCGGCGACGGCGAGGTTGACGAGGTAGTAGTTGGTGGAGGTCCTCATGGAGTGGTTCCTGGCCACGACCAGACAGGTGAGGGCGTTCCCCACCACGCCTCCTACAGCGATCACACAGTACACGACAGTCAGCGGCAGTAGAGTGTTGTACCTGTCACACACACCTGGTTAATTAAGGCATTACACTCTTGTTTATTCCCAACCCGCCTGTATATCCCTTCTACACTCCTGTTTATCCTTCATATACACCGGCTTTTTCCATACCCACCTGTCTATAACCATACACACCTGTCTATCACCATATACACCTGTCTATCCACCTACACACCTGTATATCACCACACACACACCTGTATATCGGCAGGTAGTAGGTAGTAGGCAGCTACCAACAGGGAGGTACTACCGCCTGGGAAGATATTGGAAGCATAATGTGTTGTCTAATGGTAGACCCTGCTGCTATATGGCATCACGAATATTGTGACCAAGTCCCAGGTTGCTGATCTGACTTCCTGCCTCATTTACACACAATTGCAGGGTCTCAACTGTTTCTCTTACCATTGACAACACAACATACATAATGTGTATCTTTTCTCACTCTTGATTTATTTTTTCGTTTTTTATTTATTATTATTATTATTATTATTATTATTATTATTATTATTATTTAATTATTATTATTATTATTATTATTATTATTATTATTATTATTATTATTATTATTATTATTATTATTATCATTATTATTATTATTATTATTATTATTATTATTATTATTATTATTATTATTATTATTATTATTACTACCTTTTCGCTCCCCAGGCCCCGTTGTGGGTCAGTGACTTGTGCCCGGGTGAGCTAATCCACGTTAAAAAATAAAAAATATATTTATCCTCCTACACACCTGTCTATTCACCTACACACCGGTTACTCCACATACACACCTGTCTATCCGCCTACACACCTGTACATCACCATACACACCTGTCTATCCACTTATACACCTGTATATCACCATACACACCTGTCTATTCACCTACACACCTGTACTCCACATGCACACCTGTCTATCCACCTACACACCTGTATATCACCATACACATCTGTCGATGCACCTACACATCCGTTTCTCCTTCATAATTACCTCTATCCACCCACACAAGTGTCTTTCCATACACATCTGTCACTGTCAGGGGCAGAAGAGTTTTGTACTTGTCACACACACCTAATTAATTAATATACTACACACCTGTTTCTCTCCCACACACCTGTTATCCCCTTTGTACATATAGGACACACCTGTTTCACCTTTCCTGGCCAGCATATGCACAGTATTTGTATGTATGTATGTATGAAAGTATGTACAGTCTGCCACAGGAATAAGTATACACACTGTAGCTAAGGTCCGAAAATGGTCTGGTAACGTTGAAACTTCCCATCCAGACGCATGATGAAACTCAGCTTCCCCCACCTGTTATCTCTAACTATTTTCTGTTTCCCTTTCTTTATTCTTCTATTTACTCCTCTTCCTTCCTTTACTAATCCACAACAAATGTATTTATAACATATATGTAGGAATAAAACATAAATTACAGGTCATTTTGTTTTTTGTTCGGGACAGTGTTACCAGATGTAAGGTCTCAAACACGAACCGTAGGTGTATACTTGTTCTTGTGGCCGACTGTACTTACGTATGTATGTATGAAAGTATGTATGAAAGTATGTACGCATGTATGTACTGTATGTATGATTACATTTTATCATCATATTGTGTGTTTCATGTTTTTGTATTAAATTGTCAGTCTCTCTCCTCTAACACACTGACTTTAAACACATTGGTAACACCGACATTACAAACTATTGGTAACATCCACATACTAAATATTGGTAACACTGACACAATAAGAACATTTGTAACACTGGTATTTTAAATAAATCATTGGTAACACTGACCATTGGTAGCCTGTAATATAAGCAGATAATAATAATAACAACACTAGAATAACCCGTTACAGTACCTCCTTCCTTCCTCACACAGCCAAACTGTGGAATGTTCTGCCTTCTTCTGTGTTTCCATACTTATACAATCTGTCTCACTTTAAAAAGCTGGTTTTCCGGCATCTTCGTGGTGTAGATTTACACAGCATAACCCTTTTCTCTATTTTTAATTTCTTTCTGTTCTTATTTTTTGGCCCCCCCCCCAGGCCCCGTTGTGGGTCGTTCGACCTTGCCAGGGTGGGCTAATTCCCGAAATAAATAAATAAATAAATAAATAATAATAATAATAATAATAATAATAATAATAATAATAATAATAATAATAATAATAATAATAATAAACATCTGCTACATTAGACACACAAACTACAGGCAATTATAAAGCACTTATAAATTAGTTTTATTTTTAATACACGAGCAATTAATCGGCAATTAATCGGTTAATAGCCTTGACAAATTAACCCCCTTCCCCTCCGTTGTGGTAATCGCTGTTGTTAGATATATGTGAATTAATGTCCCCTGGGGTCCTGTTAGCGGTGAAAATAAAGACCAAATGTAAACAAACTCTGCTGACGTTACTGTGCTGGATAACGTGTAATGTGTTTGTTTGTTTCATGTGATACTAGTATAGCCTTATTAATGATATACCAATATAGTATATTTATTCTTTTTCAAATTATAGGTTAATTTTGGTGTATCATGTGTGTTTGTTCAGGTGATTTACAAAAGAGGTGTAAATTATTTATTAATACAACTATTACGAGAAGGACAGTTTAACACACAGACAGTATCTTTAGGGTGAGTTAATTATTGCCTTAATGCAACGGATTAATACATGATACAATGATACATGATACGACAGTAAATGTATGCAGACGTGTTTGATTGGCTCTCTTTGCTTACGGTACAAGACTGACGCTAAATGAGAAACATTTACATTGTACCGTGGCTGTACCGTAGATCTCGTACCGTAGTTTAAGAGAGAGAGAGAGAGACAGAGAGAGAGAGAGAGAGAGAGAGAGAGAGAGAGACCCCGTACTTATTTCCTGTTTACTTACGAGACTCTCTGGGGTCCCAGTTCACGGCTGATGTACTCGTGTTCATCGAAGGTGTCGTTCACTTCAGTTCCTCCACTCCCGTTGTTCACGCCGGTCATCACGGCGCCCAACACCTCCTCCGTCAGGTTCACCACTACTCCCCTCTCTGGTTGACTCGGGGAGGACATACCTGGTGCTGATGTCTGGAGTGATTTTTTAAAAGTATTTCTTGGTGTTGATGTTTGGTGATTTTAGTATTTCTTGGTGTTGATGTTTGGTGATTTTAGCATTTATTGGTGTTGATGTTTGGTGATTTTAGTATTTATTGGTGTTGATGTTTGGTGATTTTAGTATTTCTTGGTGTTGATGTTTGGTGATTTTAGTATTTCTTGGTGTTGATGTCAAGCATTGGTATTGTTGCAGAGGGTGTTTCTGTTTTTTTGGTGACTGGTAGGATTCCTAGTGATTACTAGTGTTAGTAGTACTGGTGGCTGCTGCTGGTGACCGCTGCAACGATTGCCTCCTGGCGGCTAGTAAGAGGAAGATCCGTACCACAGGAGCCACCGAGACCTTGGTGGTGTGAGGTCCACAGCCACTGCAGGACTTGTTGTGTCGCTGGTGCTGTTAATGAGGCCACACGGAAAATCGTACTCGGGTGTAAGAGGCTTTGGTGAACTCAACACTCGACGGTGCCTGCCTCTTGGTGCTGTTCAAGGCCAAGTTCTCTGAGGTCGACCTTGAGGGTGAGAGGGAGGATGTGTTAAAGGTGAGGAAAGGGGGAGGGAATGATGTGAGAGAGGTGAGGTAAGACCATGATGCTATCTATTTATTATCGGCAGCAGCACTAAAGTTTACTCACCAGCTGCCTGTCTCACTGTAGTAATAATCCCATTTTCCATTTCGTGTGAAAAACGTGAGAATTTTTCTGCGGACGAAGTTTTCTTTTCACATGACAGTCTGATGGGAGCATGACTTACTGTGGCTGTGTTCAAACAAGACTCTTCTTTGGATTGTTGTCATTATAACTCCGTCATAACCACACTTACTACTTTATTTATCCGAATTTCACTCTTAAGTTTTCCTTGGTGTAGGTTCTCTCAGTGAACTCCGAGGCCGTTGTTACTGGGTCATACCTGCAACATAAAAGAGTTATTACGTGAGTGGTTTATTGAATATTTACAGTCTTCAGAATACAGAGTATGTCAACAAGAGCTGCTTTGATATTGAAATTCACCTTCACACAGAACTTGTCATAGTGTTTCACGGTGTTTACTCTTAATGCTCACTACACCACCACTGCCACTATCACCACAACCATTATCACCCTGGAACATCATCCCAGTGCAGTTCTGCTATTATAAGTTAGTCTTATGATAGTGTATATTTATCCACTAAATTTCATCCAAATCTAGACCAATACTATAACCCCCCCCCCCCTTTGAGAGAGAGAGAGAGAGAGAGAGAGAGAGAGAGAGAGCCACCTTGAGACTTGGTGGCGGGAGCACAATTTCCCTGGTGTAACAGTGAGCAAAAATATGATCTTCACCCCTGGTCTGATGGCCTACAAAACGATCAGTGACTGAGGTGGCGTTATTACTTATATTTGATTTAAATTAATATTATTGGGTGGAATATAAGATCTCATATAAGAGGAAGAACACTATAAATGACTACGTTTATTAAGTTATACAGTATTAGACACCAGTGGATGAGTTGTTGTAAAGAATTAAATGTATTATGAAACAAGTTTAGAAAACGTCTTTATTATATCACATGGTAAGAAATTCTGCTGACTGTTTTATTCTTTTCTTGTGAAACACATTGTGTACACTGACACACTTAAGCTTTTAGAAAACAGAAGATAAAGAGTAACTGATAACACGACGTATGGCTGCAGGACTACCAACATACAGTACAGTATAACTAATGTGTGTTTGTTAGAGTTCTTAGTCCAGTTTGTCATAAGAAGGTGCTCATACTTTTGCTGACTCTACACGTATAAATGTATTTTTACATGTAATTTATATTTATATGTACACTATATGTATACTGTATGTATATTTGTAAGGCGTATTGGGAAAATGTATATGGATATATATGATTTATATGTTTATGTATTGTACAGTGTTGAAGTTAAAACAAGGACTCTGTTGTCATGTCCGTAGACAACAGTATTAACCCCCCCCCCCTGTGGCTCTGTGAACTGAGTACAATCGTCAGGCTTTAGCCAAATAAAACATTAAATGAGGCGTCCCTGTAGAGAAGGGGTTCCTTGTTGTTATGTAGAGAGAGAGAGAGAGAGAGAGAGAGAGAGAGAGAGAGATAAACTATTATTTAACCAAGATCTAAAACAAGAATTATTCGCCAGGTTAAGCTCAGGGTGTCGCCTTGGCCAATATTTCTAACTTGGGGTAATATTTTGTCCACGTGACTTGAATTTTCCTCACATAATCGGTAGGGCAAGACTCGCTCAGGGAGGAGTCCTGTAAATCTTGAGTTCCAGTTGACTTAAATCCTTGAGCACGATGACTAGATCCCTTGAGTACGCTGACTTAAACCCTAAGAGCACGATGACTTATTCTCGTAGAGCACGATGACTTAATCCCGTAGAGCACGATGACTTAACCCCTTAAATACGATGATTTAACCCCTCTTAAGCACGATGACTTAATCCCGTAGAGCACGATGACTTAATCCCGTAGAGCACGATGACTTAACCCCTTAAATACGATGATTTAACCCCTCTTAAGCACGATGACTTAATCCCGTAGAGCACGATGACTTAACCCCTCTTAGGCAGGATGACTTAACTCCTTGAATACGATAAGTTACCCTCTTAAGCACGATGACTTAATCCCTTAGAGCACGATGAGTAAGATGACAGAATAGAGTAAATCATTATACCTAAGGAGGCTTACTCATCGTACTAAAGGGATTAAGTCATTGTATTCAAGAGGTTAAGTCATCATACTAAAAGGACTACCGAAGAGGAGGGGACAAAGTCATCATATTCAAAGGGACTTAGTCATCGTTCTGAAGGTGGAGGGTCAAGTGATGAATGCACACACACACACACACACACACACACACACACACACACACACACACACACACACACACACACACTCAAGTGATGATAAATATAACAGTCTACCCAGGAAACAGATTATGGTACTCTGGTCGACACCTCTGCTGCTACCTTTCACGTGTCGAGGCTTTCACATGTTAATGCCTATCGACCTGAATAAAACCTTGAACCAATTAAACCCTGTGCCGATTAACCCCTGTACCGATTAACCCCTGTACCGATTAAACCCTGTACCGATTAAACCCTGTACCGCTTAAACTCTGTACCGATTAACCCCTGTACCGATTAAACCCTGTACCAATTAAACTCTGGACCGATTAAAAGCTGTATCGTTTATAAGCTGTACCGATTAAAAGCTGTACCGATTAAAAGCTGCATCGTTTATAAGCTGTATCGCTTATAAGCTGTATCGTTTGTAAGCTGTATCGTTTATAAACTGTATCGTTTATAAACTGTATCATTTATAAGCTGTACCGATTAAAAGCTGTATCGTTTATAAGCTGTACCGATTAAAAGCTGTACCGATTAAAAGCTGTATCGTTTATAAGCTGTATCGTTTATAAGCTGTATCCTTTATAAGCTGTAGCGTTTATAAATTGTATCGTTTATATGCTGTACCGATTAAAAGCTGTACCGATTAAAAACTGTGTCGTTTATAAGCTGTATCGATAATAAGCTGCACCAATTAATAGCTGTGTCGTTTATTAGCTGCACCAATTAAAAGCTGTATCGTTTATAAGCTGTACCGATTAAAAGTTGTGCCGTTTATAAGCTGTATCGATTATAAGATGCACCAACTAAAAGCTGTATCGTTTATAAGCTGTACCAATTAAAAGCTGTATTGCTTATAAGCTGTACCAATTAAAAGCTGTATTGTTTATAAGATGTATCCATTATAGGCTGCATCGATTAAATGCTGTCTCGTTTATAAGCTGTATTGTTTAAAAGTTGTACCGATATAAAGCTGTACCGATTAAATGTTGTGTCGATTAAAAGCTTTACCAATTAAAAGTTATACCGATTAAAAGCAATAGCTATTAAAAGCTCTACCTATTAAAAGCTCTACCTATTAAAAGCTCTACCGATTAAAAGCTCTACCGATTAACCCTCTGAGAAGTAGTGTCGGATATAAGTATTTAATTCCAATTGGATTAAGCTAAGAATAAACACTCGACACTACTGAGTGGGTTAAATATTAAATGGTAAAAAATACGTGTCCATATGTGTGATGTCTCTTAGTAATATTCTCTCTGATGAGTTGAATTCTGAAAAGCGTAATGTCTCTTTTGTTGAGTCGCGGTGTAAGTTATCTATATTTTCTTCTCTTAAATAGTTATCGAATTAAGGTTAGCGCATCTGAGGTATATTTTCCAATGGAGGCGTAAATTTGTCTGATATGGCAACGAATTAATCCTGACACTACCATATTTGAATGATTTTATTATTATTTTTATTATTTTTATTATTTTTATTATTATTATTATTATTATTATTATTATTATTATTATTATTATTATTATTATTATTAGTATTATTATTATTATTATTATTGTTGTTGTTATTGTTGTTGTTGTTGTTACCGTAATAAATTTTCAGAATACATAAACACATTAATAATTTCCCTTAAAGTTACAACAAACAATTGGGGACGAAAATGACGCCAATTACACACTCAAACTATACTACTTTAAGTTGTGTTTCCTCATCTTGGGAACCTTCGAGAATCTGAGTCCAGGAATAAGGCTTTTCTTGAAGGCATTTAGGACGAGGTCAAAAGTGTCAGAAAAATGTACAGTACTTTGTGGGTGATGAGGGGTCGGGGCAAGACAGTGGCATATCAGGTTCACAGATAGAAAAATAGATAGATAGATAGATAGAGAGATAGATAGATAGATAGATAGATAGATAGATAGAGAGATAGATAGAAAGATAGTAAAATCGTCATACAACTTTATAATTGGTTCAGCATGTTCAGTATATAGACA